TCAGGCCTGGGGCTCCCAGGGGACCAGGGAGATTTTACGATGGCTCCCTTATTAATTTTATTCCCTCCTGTTTTGTGTGTTTTTACTGTTTTTTATATGTAGTTGTTTTTATTTTTTTAAATTGTTGTACTCTGCCCAGAGTCACCTTGTGTGAGATGGGCAGCTATATAAATATGATAAATATATATACACACACACACATATAATTTTCATTGAAGATTTTAATTACAATAGTAAAAGCAAATACAGACTAAATTCAGAGAGAGAAGGAGAAATAGAATAAAAAGTGCAAAGAAAGAAAAAGAAGAAAAGAAAAAGAAGAAAAAGAAATATATAAAGAAATGACTTCCGATCTTCATCACAACAAGTATAAAAAAGCTTAATAAATCTTCACCCCTTATAAGGTTACAAACAGATATCTCATCTTTCCACAACTCATCCATTATCTATATCCAAATCCATAAATCAACTTTTCAGTCCTGGTGTCAGCAAAAAGTCTGTAAAGGGTTACCAGAGCTTTATAGAAACATGACTTATTTTAACCTTGATCAAATAAACCAGCTATATATTTCTTCCTTTTACTTCTGACAATCTTGATCTTTAATTCACTCAGATGTTGTCATAGGATTTGGTACCTCTTTAATTTTAATTTTTCCCATCCCAAAGGCTTCTTCAAGGCTTTAGCAAACCTGTTTTGTAAATCCAATAAAAAGTCATTATCCAGATCATTTTCTTAGCTTGTTATCTATGTTTTCACTTTATCTGCTTTCTCTGTCTTATAATCCACACTTCTTTAATTATCCAGCCTTTCTGGTTCTAATATTTCTGCATTAGGCAAAATTTCTTTCACATTTGTCATTCCTTCATTAACATCTTTTGGACATAGTCTGTCCATCAAAGCAGACATCATTGTTGACATTACTGACAATGTAGCTACTAATTTCTGGCCCCATTCTTCAAAAATCTCCTGGAGATTTTAACTTATGGTTAATTTTTCTTTTGTTCAAGAATGAAGGTAAAGTCATCAGGTGGCTTTTCAAACTTGTCATTCCTAATAGCCTTAATATAGCTAAATAGACAATATCCAAAAGTGATTAAAAAGTGAAGTTAGCAAACTCAGTATCCCTTAAAAGGGTCCACCATGGTTGTGAGCATGATGGCTTGATCCCTTCATCTCCCGACACTCAAACCCATGGGCTAATGGTGTCTTGTGGTCTCCTCTCAAGAAGCAGCCATCTTCCACACATACAACCTAAAGTATGGATCCAGTATGTAGATGACACCTTTGTTATAATAAAAAAGGAACAACTAGAGAAGATATGAAATCATCAACAACATCTTCAAAGGAATAATATTCACCAGAGAGGAAGAAGACAACAACACACTACCCTTCCTGGATATCCTCATCAGCAGAGGAAACAACAACAAATTAGAAACCGAAGTCTATCGGAAGACAACCCACATTAATCACATACTCCATTACCAAAGTAACAACCCAACCTCCCACAAGAGGAACTGTGTAAGAACATTATTCAAACTAGCACAAATGCATTGA